TTAACACTAAATTTTCACGTTCAAATAGGGGTTGTTTTTTTTTAATTTTTTGTTACCATACTTCTCCCGACTTCTCCGTAACGGCTTGACCGATTTTGATGAAATTTAATATGTATATGCAGTAGGTCTGAGAATTGGTTGTTATCTATTTTTTATACCCTTAAGTGACAAGGGGGGCCCACCCCAATTTTTTTTATTTTTTTGGACAAAATTTTTAATTTTTGTTTTTTTACGATGTGGCAATAAAAAATACATACAACACTAAATTTTCACTTTCAAATAGGGGTTGTTTTTTTGTTACCATACTTCTCCCGACTTCACCGTAACGGCTTGACCGATTTTGATGAAATTTTATATGTATATTCAGTGGGTCTGAGAATAGGCTGTTATCTATTTTTTATACCCTTAAGTGACAAGGGGGGCCCACCCCAATTTTTTTATTTTTTTGGACAAAATTTTTAATTTTTGTTTTTTTACGATGTGGCATTAAAAAATACATACGACACTAAATTTTCACTTTCAAATAGGGGTTGTTTTTTAATTTTTTTGTTACCATACTTCTCCGTAACGGCTTGACCGATTTTGATTAAATTTTATATGTCTATTCAATAGGTCTGAGAATAGGTTGTTATCTACCATTTTTGAGATTTTGATGGTCAAACAAAGTTGTATTTATTATACTTAAAAAATATTGATTGAAATAAATTTAATAGTTAATTTAATTATAAGCGATACTTTCTTATAATTTAAAAATAAATTTTAATTTAAGTTCAGGGTTTAATATTTTTTTCTTCAAAATTAATCGGTACCCCACATCGTTCAACACGTCATTTAAAAATATAAGGTTTATAAGACATGTCTATATTGGAAAGAGTATTATAAGTTAAAATTCCGTTACAATACAGACATAAATTAAGGTTTTCTGATTACAGTTATATTTAATTTATTTTTTTAATAAATATTTTTTATGCTGAATTGTGAAGCTCTGCAATTTGTTGTCTGTGGTCATATCGTCAGTTTCGCGTAAATTATATGTTACTTGTTCTATTTAAGCAAACTGATGGCATATTTAGTTTTTTCGGTATTTTTTTACTTTATTCGATAGAAAATGACACTCTGAATAGAATGACATATCATATGTCAACTTTTGACATTTTCGCATATGGTTTATTTGAAATTATAAAGGAAATTATAACATGCGGTTCATAACGATAATTTGACTCGAAATACCAGTGTGAGGTATCAAATTATTCGTAAAAAATGCTTTTCCCAAATATGCTAATTAGCCACCCTCGTTCTATTTGAAAAAATTGAGATATGATTAAAAATACGATTTGAGCATTTTCTAACTGGCCAGGACAAGGCACTAAAAACATTAGACGATCAAATCTATTTTTCCAAGGCTACTTGATTGAAATTTAAAATTCAATTTCGTTTTAAGCGAAAATTTCAAAAGTTGACATATGATATATGATATGTCATTATATTCAGAATGTCATTTTCTATCGAATAAAGTAAACAAATACCGGGGGTGCCATTTAAGAATCAAAAGTTGTAGTCATTTCCGGTGAAACAAGAAGTGACCAAAAACAATTGAATACGTCAATCAATCCTAATTTATGTCATATACTAACATACCAAATCTCGTTTTTTTATCTGAAAAAATAAGAAAGTTATAGGGGTGAGCCACTTTTGAGACGCACCCGGTGTAGAAATTAAAATAGACAAAAATTTCTTTGAAAGTCAAATGTTGCCAAAGCTGGAGAATTTTTATTTTAATTGTCTTTATCGGAAATGAATAAAAATTCTTTTTTTTGAAACCTTTGAGCACACTTTCCTGATTAAATAAACGAATTGGCAGATTAAAAAAGCTTTATGTTGGTAGTCATGGCAAATATTACCGATTGCATTGAGATTTTTCTTTAAAAATCGGATATTTTATCACTTTCGACTGTAATATTTTTTTTCTATTTGACATATGACATTTTAAATTTTGCTCTGAGTTTTTAAAAAAAAATTAAATTAAATCTGCGTTTTGTGTACGTAAAACTGCGATTTTCATTGCAATAAAATATGAAAACCACTAAATAGTAGGAATCAGCGACTTGTCTCATTATACTAATCAATTAATTTGAACAGGTAAAAGGATTACAGGGAGCCCCTTTTGTCATTAAACCACGCTAGATCGAAAACATTGTTGCCTAAGTATTGTCGCTTTTATTGAAATACATAATATACCGTATGATCGAAAAAAAAACGGCGTCCAGTTGACTGGGAAATGACGATCAACAATATTTCCCATGCATATATAAATTTACATATAATAAAACAATAATTAATAATAACCGTCTATCAAAGAATATAATCGAAATTATATTACCATAGAAACGCCCCTTGATTTTTAAGACTGAAAAAATTCAACAATATACAAACGGTATGGAAATTTGGAAAAGTATAAACGGGATTAACCATTTTAGAACAAGCAAAATTTTTTATGAAGAATACATTTTTCTCAAAATGTCAATAATAAAAAAGTTTTTCCACTTGTTTTTCCACAATCCGGGGACATTCTGTAGAATTATATAGAATTATTTATGTAATGGAATTATATTATTATTATTATTATTATTATTATATTTACGGTAAATAAGAATAATTAAAATTATTCTGGTTTATGACAAATTATTCAGCTCTATTGGCAAAAAAAAAAATACTGGCTATGGAATTTTAGCGATCATATCAATTTTATTATCAATGAATTTATTAAAAAATCTTATTAAAATAGGTTACAACATAAGATACCTGTTTGTCTAGATGTTAATTTGTGATGTTTGCCCTTTTTTTCCTATTTTATCACATATCAAAAATATTATAATATCAAAACCGTTCTATTTAACTAGTTTTCTTTTTGTTAATATAATATATTAATAATTGTTAATATAATATATATACAATTATTAATTAATATATTAAGCATACATCATTTTGCCTTTTTCCGCAGCATTTATGATTATGATAGTTTTTAGGTTTCGTTATAATAGGATTTAAAAAGCCTATCATTTTTGTTTATAGTTTTTCTGCAAATTAAAAAGTCGATAACTAAATAATTTATAACGTACTGAATTAACTAAATTTCAAACTGCAGGTACAATACAAATAATCAGAAATAGGCCTACGGAACATCGCGTCCGCCGTGTCGCCATATAAAATCAAAGTCTCGGGCGGCGAGGCCCGAGTGGTCTCGCGCGCGGCCTATTCGTAAACTTAATTTAGGATAACAAGAAAAGTATTAGCATTAGAAAATTGTACCAAGTTTCAAAACTTTTTCAATATTTTACTTTATTTCATACGCAGATACTAAGTAAAAATTCCTTCAAATAAAAAAGTTTCTCGCTTACCGAAAATCATGATACAATAAAGTTAATGTTTGAAGTTTAATCCATTTTCAAAAAAATACACTCACTATGGAATTTTAATTACCTCAGCTATCACCGCCTATGTGTTCTCAATCGATTAAAAAAAGAGTTTGTGAATAAGTTGATTAGTTTAGGAGTTATCGCGTAGGAAAGATAAAAAAACATGGTTATACATTTTGACATTTTGCTAGTTAAAAATTTCTGACACCCCAAAAAGGTCGTAATTAGTTATTTCACATGCACAAAGGCCTAACTGATAATCCTGTATAGATATCATGTAGTTATACCTCCAAAAAAAATTTTTGACACATTTTGATATCGTTTTTACTCCACTGAAATAAATATGGGAAATATTCAGATGTGATTTACACTGAATGCGTCCGACCAAAAATCAGGCGGTGGGGGATCGTGAACGGACCGCCTTCCACAGCACACCCGCTCTACCCGACCCCTGAGACCGACCCGAGCGGTGTAGCGCAAATGGACTCTTAATGCGCGAGTATCTAAATTTAACTTTCTAACACGTCTTAAAAACCTTTCTCTAAATAACGTAAATAATGTTCACCGGTCAACGTATCCTCGAAACTGTATGGACAAGAAAAGTTGAACCGATAATCCTAAACGCTTTTATTCATTTGAAAAACTCGTATTTACAATTTTTATTTATTTTTAATTTTCAAAGATTGGATGTGACAATTTCACATCTTTGAGAGCAACGACGATTGAACTTGTTTCCCTGGCTAACTAACTGAAATTAGTCAAGAAAGATAAGAATTGGCTATAACTCAGTAATTTTGTGAAAGAAACATATTATACCGTATATCGCTAAAAAGCTTAAAAATGGCGCTTTTTATGAAGTCATGGCCAACTATGGTTTCAATTAAAAAAAACATATGTTTGTGTCATATGTCAAAAATGACAGGCTTTAGAAAAAATCGGAGAGCACATTAGGGATGCGATTATCTACAACTTTTATCTGAAAACTTTTTGTCTAAAATAGATTATAATGGAATTAGGGACAATTTTTAAAATAGCCAAAATTTGTTTTTTTTTTCGAAATATCTAGTAAGCCATCAACTTTTTCGAAAAACTGGAAGGAGCATATTTATGACCCCACAAAACTGCAATTCTTTCCCCCACTTAACTGACTCTCTATCTCCAGTAGTTTCCGAGATACCCATAGAGAACATCCTAGGAAACTCACCCTGTATAATTTTATTACTTAGTAATAATAAAGTAAGAATGCATCTTTCTCAAAAGTTTTTTCTCTTGTAAAGACAATCGGGAGACATACTGTAGAGCTTTTTCGGAAAGCTGGATCACTCTTATTTGCTGAATCTTAGATACCAGTTAATTTTTACAATAACCCTACTTAAGCAACTGTCAAACCACTCGAAAAACAACTTCAAGCGATGCGCACATAAACTGTTCAGATTTTATTGCACGCACACATTCCATACAAGGTTTGAATAAAACAAAAATAATAAAAAATTCTTTATTTAACATTATTCAAAATTGTAAAGCACCTTGCGATTCTGCTTTTCTAAACATTATAAAACTATGAAATGTAAAAACTACATAATGTATGTCTAGTTATGGACGTATATTTATACATTAACAATACTTCATAAATTAAGGTAACTTATTTATTTATATTTATATTGCTATCAATATTTGTACGTAATACAAAAATAGTATGTAATTTGATACATTTATTGTACAGCGAACAATACATAAAGTTGAGAATTATATTCATAGAAAATATATCTATAAAAAAATGTCAATGTCATAATGGTGTGTCAATTTTTGCAAATTTCATTTAACTATATACATTTATATATTTCCTAAAAATGCTAAATGTCCTAAGTAGATACCACAAAAAACAGTACGCATAAAATATATAAAAATATAAATTAAACAGTCCTAACTAATAGTTTTTCCCTTTAAGCGTAGGTATATTTATTTATAAGAATAACTTCACTAAAATGAACACTAGTATGGCAGAGATCGTTGTAGGAATGATCCTTTGAGAGGCACTGTGAGGTTGTCGGGTTGTTGAGCAGGACTCTGAGTCCCTGAGGAGTTCCTGGAATCGCGCTACGTATCTGTTGCCGCCGCCACTGATAGTTATTCCAGGGGTGGAGTCCTGAAAAAAGCATTTTAGTATCTAACTGATGTCTACGACAGACAAATAATCTTATTAAAAATTAAAGTGTTGGTATTTTGGTTTGGTTTGATTTGGTATTGATAGACAGGGACGTATTAAAAAAATACTGTAATTGCCTTTAGATGTAAAAAGTCATATTCTCCTGGAAAATGTTTATGGAGAATTTCTCCATAAGAATTTATAGTTTATTTTGTGTTCAATGTTGCTTTGTATTTCGTAGAAAATACACTTTTGTTGAAAAAAAATTGTCTTTTTTTCTGATGTTGTTTAACTTATACAAATATAATATAACTTCATACTGCCATGATAAGAATTTGGCTTGATTTTTGTTTAAAGCCTAAATTGTTTATGTTTCACTATATTTTTGTAGGCAGTTTTTGAAGGTAGTTTTAAAAATTTTAAAACGTAGTTAATACAAAAAACTACGCGTAGGTTTTGGCGTAGTTTTTTGCTTAATAAACTACTTAACAACCCTGTTGATGATATGAATATCAAGTTGAACTTCTTTTATAATAGTGATCGTGATAATATTGTGGGTTTTCAGGACCAGGAGAGGGGGAAGAGAGAGTTTAAACCAGCTCGGGTGTCTAATGTTGTTATGGTAAGTGGTATCTTTACCAATTAGAAGCAATCCCTAGCTTATTTTTTTTTATCACACTACATGCACAGGTAAACATTCGAACGGAAATTGTATTTGACGCAAACACTAAAAAAACTGACAAAAACCAAATATACCTATCACACAATAAAAAAAATAAAACTAAAAAACAAAATATATCACTCATGAAAAGAATGAAATAAATTAAGCCGCACGCTACTGACTCAAAGCTGCCGTAACGCCCGTAACTGTATGTTGTCGATGACAAAAACTACGACTGACTACGACACTGGTTAATTTCTGTTGCTGGCGCCCATAATGGCGGTGTGCGCAAGGATATACGCGTAGAGTTCCCGCCAAAGCGAGTCGGCCTGCCGTGGTATAGGCACAAATTACCTTTAACAGATGCGAAAGAAAGCGACTGCATCGGAAACCGCTCGGCAAACCCCACACGCCTATTGAGTGGTGTAAATACACCAGTCGTTTAGTCCGGAAACCTATGCTGTGTCGTATTCGCTTAATCTAACATGTTAAAATACTGCCGGATGAGGAATTCAAGTTCGGAGATGTGGGTTTTAATGAGGTCAGGGACGTAATACTTAACTTAAAAAATAAAGATTCGCGTGACAAATTTGGGTTCAGTGTTAGGATTATAAAGATGATAAGGGAGCTTATCCTTATACCGCTAACAAAAATAATTAATTTGTGCTTTAGGGAATGCATTTTTTCATGTTGTCTCAAGGAGGCTGTTGTTGTACCCGTATTCAAAAAAGGGGGACAAGAATGATATATCTAATTATCGTCCGATTTCACTGCTTCCTGTTTTTTCAAAAATCATTGAGAAATGTATGGCCTCAAGAATGGCGTTATTCCTTGAAGAGAATTTATTGCTGAACGACCAACAGTTCGGCTTCAGGTCCGGACGCAGCACTGTGCTGGCTATTCTGGACCTCGTGTCATTCATCTTGGATGGCTTTGAGGGTAGGGAACATGTTGGCGCGGTATTTTGCGATTTAAGTAAAGCCTTGGATTGTGTGTCTCACGAGTTGCTCATTAAAAAACTCGACTATTATAAATTAGTGAGGGTAGTGTTGCCCTTTTGAAATCCTACATGGAGGACAGAATACAGAGAGTGGTCGTTGATGGTGTGTGGTCGAACCCAAGACCTCTTAAAAATGGTGTCCCACAAGGCTCAGTACTGGGCCCTTTACTTTTTTTGATTTATATAAACAACTTACCACATATCCGACGTGACGACCACTACGTTTTATTCGCAGATGATACAGCGGTCTCGGTCAGAGGAAAAGAACTAAAAGACCTAGAGGGAGGCGCGGATGACGCTCAAGCGAGGGCGGCTGACTGGTTCCGGAAAAATAACCTAGTTTTAAATGAGGCCAAAACAAATCGTGTAATTTTTTCTTTGAGGAGTGTGCCTGAGGACTGTCGCTTCTCCAGGGAATCTGTTCCATTTTTAGGGGTTCAGTTGGACAGTGAAATGAGATGGAATGCTCATATTGAGCAACTATGCAAGAAGCTAAGAAGCGCGCTCTTCGTTCTGCGTAATTTGTCAGGTACTGTTTCCTGTTGCGTATTGCGGACGGCTTACTACGCTCTTTTTTTCATTCTGTGATGTCCTACGCTGTTTTGGCTTGGGGTCACGCACCTCAGTGGCGCAGGGTTTTCGCGCTTCAGAGGAGGGCTGTGAGAGTTGTCGGAGGATTGGGCTACAGGGATGATTGCAGGGAAACCTTTAAAATGTTAAATATACTTACTCTCCCAAATCTTTATATATTGGAAAATCTATTATATGTTAAAGCCAATACGGAAAAATATCCCACAAATGCTCAGCACGGCTCTCATGACACTCAGTATCCCTATACATAGATTAGAAAGGTCTCGAGATGGACCTAGATACTGGGGTGTGAAGCTTTACAATAAACTCCCGGATGGGTATAAACTATTGTCCGATAAGGTGTTTAAGGGCAGGGTTCGTGGCTGGTTACTTGAAAATCCACTGTATGATTACGACGGAGTTTCTTTCAAGTGATATACATATTAATCTCACTTGATGGAAACTCCTTCTACAACAGAATGTGGGAACTGGAAACTCCCACCCTATATTTATATTACAATGTATTAACTAGGATATATAACTGTCATTGTATACCCATCTAATATGATGGTTTTAACTTTATGTCTTTTGTGTTAATTTTTAAGTTAATTGTGTTTTATATATGTATTTTATTTTATATTTTGACTTATGTACGCCACTATTTGTATGGCATTGACATCAATAAATTATTCTATTCTATTCTATTCTATTCTATTCAATAGAAAAGTAACTATTTTGTCACATCTTTAATTAAATTTTGTTAAATAAATTAATTTTTTATACTATAAATATCTTTTTTTTCCTAATCTCCTACGAACTGATATAATATGACGAGCAATCTATTAAATTACTGTGAGATTATATGCCTCGATAACATATTGGTGCAGATTATTTTCACCCAAACAAATAATAACCCAAACTATACATTGATGCGGATTGTCTATGAACTCTTTCTGAAGGTCACAGAAACCTGAACGCGTAATTCGGTGTTCTTTCGCATCTGTTGTAGTTAATTTGTGGTATAGGCAAGTATAGGTTTGGTGCATTTCAGTTGATTTCAACAAATTCCGACCGCAGCGCTTCAACGGCAAAAATCAGAAATTATCAGTACCTGTTTTACGCCGCCGTCATGTTGATGGCATTAAAATAATATTGAAATCGTGGTTTTGTCATAATATTTAAGTATTTTAGTTTTTTGCTAGTGCAGTTATGGAGGCTATAAAACACTCAGGTACGAGGTTTGTGTGATGTAACGCTGTTTCGGGTAGTAAAAAATAAGTGAAAAAAAAATTGAACTAGTCGTGTGAATTTCGTTGTAAAAAATAATTGAATTCGTCCAACTTACCGGAAACAGTAAATCGCTGACATTGTCAAACTTGTCAAACACCTTGAAGGGTTTGTTCAAGTTCTGACCGAATTCTTTTTCTATGCTTCTGAGCAGAAGGACGACGTCATTGTATTTAGGATTGTCCCTTCTGATCAGAATTTCACCAGCAGTGATGGTAGCCAACGGCGTTTCCTCGTCAGTGATGGTTCTGTCAATGCTGACCATCGACCCGTTCCTAGCGATCACTCTGTATGTCGAATTTGTGTCGTATAATAATGTGTTATTTGGTGGCAAATCTAGAAAAAAAAATATTTAAAATATAAAAGGTATCCTGAAATAGTGTGTTTATGATAAGGCACTTAAGAGTCTATTACGCTGTACTGTTCTGGTCGCTCTCATGGGTTGTAGAGAAATTAGGCAGCTAAGGCTTAGCCCGATCCTGTCGTGTTAAGCCACACCCAAAATTCCAAACACACGTACTTTGATTAAGGTTTGCAGAGCTTCAGTATTTGCCACAAAATAGCGAGCAATTTGTTACAAAATCATATAAATTATATATCACTGTAATCACAAAACTTACAAAACCGACACTAGTAGATGAACTACAATCGGATGAGATTCTGGGAATGGTCTCGGATCTCACACCACCAATCCAACTCTTGACGCGCACCTACAACGTCCTGTTTCCGGATAGGAACGAATGGGATAAGCCGAGAAACGGCTTATTACTTGCGGAAATGTGTTGGCGCAGGAATTTACTGCAGCAGTCCAAAGACTGAGATCTACCACAGTCTTGGAAAACACACCACAATTTTCCAAGCTGAGCTATATGCGATTGAAACCTGTGTGCAACTGCTGGTAGAACAGCAATACATCGGGAAAGCAATAAGCATATTTTCGGATAGTCAAGCCGTGTTGAAAGCACTTGAGGCAACGAAAAGTACGTCCATGACGATTCTTCATTGTAAGAAACTACTCAATATATTAGGAGATGGAAACAAAGTGTCGCTAATATGGATACCGGGACATGTCGGCCTAGAGGGAAATGAACGTGCTGATTCCCTCGCCAAAACTGGTGCAGGCTCGCCATTTGTGGGCCCAGAACCGACACTTAGCGTACCAAAAAATCTCGCAAGAGACAGGCTCTGTGAATGGGTTAGGGGTGTGACGTTTCGGGACTGGTATGACAGTCCCGGAATGGAACATGCCAAGACAATCCTAGCAGGGCCATCCAAACGTAGAACAGATGAACTCCTAAAGGCAGGTAGGAACGGAGCGCGTACGCCTACTGCAGTATACACGGGCCACTGCCGGCTGAGATCACACCTACAGAGGATGGGACTGGTGGAAAACGCCGAATGCCGACTCTGTATGGAAGATGATGAAACAATGAAGCACGTTATGTGTACCTGCCCCGCTGGGGGCAGGACCAGGTTTGAGGTGTTTGGCAAACCCACGCTAGACCTATCAGACCTAGAAGACATATCACCCTCGGACTTAACGGCCTATGTTAAAAGGCTGGGTCTTGAGGGTGAACTTTAATGCTCTTTTTCTTTTAAAGAGCTTGTAGAAACTGAGCCACAATAGGCCCTCGCGGCCTCAGTGTAGGGTCCCACCTGGGACTCACTCTTAGTAAAATACAAATACAATACAATCACAAAACTTCGATCTATTTCCGTATTGTAACGGAATTTTAGATTATGTTTTTATTTTCGAGAAAATTTAGTCCAAACATAAGGAATATTTTGTTGATGTTTGACCATCAAAATTTTAAAAATAAAGAAGTTGTCTAAAAATGTGCTACAATACGGATATAGTATAATCCTTTATCTTTAATTTCCTTCTTCATTTGTGTAAAAATACCTAGCCAGTTTTGCATAAAACGTTAAATGCCCAACGCTTATTTTGCTACTTTTTCGGACTAGTGAAATGGACTCTTAAAAGATTTTTCGTTTAAAGGCCTACCTAAACTGTGTATGTTAGGACGTATTTTTGAAAAATATATTTACTTTTATAGTGTGTCTCAAAAACTGTATGTGGACGAGAGTGATTATAAAATTAAGGTTTTGGAAAATAAATTTTCGAGCACTTTACTGCACTCTGTACTTACCATTAAGTGAAATGACAGCATAATCTCCATTGAGATCAGCCAAGCATCGAAGAGCACCTTCACTTCCGTAATATTTGTTTCCAGTGTCAGCATTACAGTATTTGGCAGCTAGAAAACATAATAGTTATTTATAGTACAAGTGTGTTTATGAACATGATTACAACAACGAGTGTGAACGATTAGAATCGTTCACAACTTCTAAGCACACGAGTGTTGTAATCATGTTTAAACGCACGTGTCATGTACAGGGTGGGTCAAATTCGACGCTTTTAAATGTTACCATTTCGGAGTTACAGGGTGTTTTTCAAAAATGTGCATTTTTAACAAATCACTGTAACTTTTTTGCCATGGAAAATTTTGTATTTTTATGAAAACATTTCCAAAGCACCTTTTTACGTAGAATTTAATGGTTTAAGTGTAATTTTTTTTAAAATTAATAATTTAAGAATTATCAACAGAAAATTTGATTCTTTATATGGGACACCCTGTATATTTTTAATTTATTGAAAATAATTTAAAATTACCTTTCCAAAAATATAAAACACTTGATATTTTGCTCGATTCCTCTTCGAGATATATATAAAAATTCGCCCGCTTTAAATAAGTAGGCTTTGAACGGCACCGGCTGTAATGCAAAAAAAATCTAGCTGTGAGCATCAATTAAAACGAAAATAATATTTGCTATGAGAGATGCAGAATTTCATAACAATTTAAAATATATTTAACCAATATCAACACGTTTAAACTATATCTAATAACAATAAAAATAAATAGCAAACTAAGACATGAGATTTTGCTACAAGTGTTCGACATATCGACCGTCTTCTGTTATGGACAAACGGGGCAGTTTTTGAACATTTCTCGCGGAATTCATTAACTCAGAGGGAGTAAAAGATACCCTCTCATAACTGCTAAGTATTTCTAATCCTTGTGTAGATTATACGGAAGAATAAGGAACCTTTATTCTTCCGCAAATATATCAATAGGATTAGATTCATGGGCACTAAGTCAGGCGGCCTCGACGGCCAACGGCTGGGATCTTGGTTAGCTATTCAAATATTCTTGAAATTGGCTGCAAACATTTGCTGATAACTTCAGCGTTCTGAGGCGGTGCGTTGTCTTGCTGGAAAAATATGTTTTCGAGTTCCATTAAGGGAATATCATCAATAAGGGGTCCAAAGCCTACTAGTTAAAAGTGGCGAACTTTTAAAAATTCTGTATTTCGAAGGGGATTATAACAAAATATCAAGTGTGCTATATTTTTGGAAAGGTAATTTTAAATTCTTTTCAGTTAATTAAAAATATAGAGGGCGCCCCAAATAAAAAATCAATTTTTCTGTTGATAACTCTTAAATTATTAATTTTAAAAAGATTATACTTAAACCATTAAATTCTACGTAAAAAGGTGCTTTGGAAATGTTTTCATGGAAATACAAAATTTTCCTTAGCAAAAAAGTTACAGCGATTTGTTAAAAATGCACATTTTTGAAAAACACTCCGTAACTCCGAAACGGTAACAGATATTGATGTGCGGTTTTCACCATCATGTTTTTGATAAAAATTGAGCTCCAGACACCGATATTAGTTTTTGCCTATCTCCTATAGAAAAGGGTGTTTCCATTTAAAAGCGTCGAATTTGACCCACCCTGTACAACGTTTTATCTACAACCGAAAAATAAGAAAATGCTGTTTTAATTTTCGTTTATTAGTCGCCCACCTTTAACACATTTAACTATGACATTTGTCACATTTTTTTCTGAAAAGTCAGTTTGCCCTGTTGTAACAGATTATTTCCTTTATATTATTATTTATATTATTAACAGATTATTTCCTATGTCCTTTACGTTCAAGTCGATGTTAATGGAAGAGAGGGGTGCGGGGAAGGGGGTTGTTTAGTTAATTTAAAATAAATTTAGACATACATGTAAGAACACTTTGTGCTTTTAATTAGGTCGAACATATTATAAACGATAAGCAGGAAGTAATAAAACAAACATCTTTCAAACGTGACTATTTTTAAATTCCCAAACTTATAGAAAAATAAAGTAAATAAACTGTAGAACTTAGAAGTAAACAGAAAATTGTAAAAGATAGACCGTAGATAAAAACGCTGGGACATTTAAAATAATAACCCTCCCTTTGATAACATGTAACTATCGCCGGATGTTTGTAAAGGATCTGGGAACTTTAGAAAGCACGTATCTGGGACATAAACGATAATTAACAACGTAAATGGTCATAGTATGCCATCTAACAACGGAGGTCGAACCAATTTGGTTTGAAGGGCGGTGTCAAGCTGACCAATCAAACAAAGAACAGTACCTTTAGGGGATGATCCTATTGGCGAAGTACCGAATGCACCACCCTTCAACCCTGTAATGTTGGAACCTCTGGGCTGTTTTTAGGCAGAAAAGTTAGTTCGGTTTAAGTTTTTAAAAGACACGGTTCTCCTCGGGTTCGCGAACTCGGTAAGGTTCACGATGTGACCCCCTGTAGTTTTTAAGTCTAGTGTCTGTAAGTAGATATGTTTAATTGTATTTTTCCATCTCTTTTCCATTTTTAGTAATAACAAGTAATTTCAATCATATATATATATTTTTATTTGTTCTTTATTTTCTTTTTAATATTAAATTAAAAAATGTTTTCTAAAAACTCGGCCGTTTTATTTCTATAGTAAAAATCTGAAACCAAGAGTGTTTACAATAGTATACAAATAAGAAACGAAATGAACGGGCAGAATATCTCCAGAGCAGTCTCTGAAAAGTCTCGAGAAATGAGCTACATATTTACAGACAGAGGTCGGGCCGTAATTAAGGTAAGTTATAATAGATTTGAGAGACTAACAGGCACTAAGACAAAAGCATTAAACATACGCTCCAAAGAGTCGGTCATTTTTATCCAAGTTTGCCTTCCGTTCAACTTAATTTTTTTTCATAATTATAAAATAGTCACGCTACCCATAGACAAGTGATTAATCCGAAAAGATTTGTCACACTGTCAAGTAAACGCGAGCACTTTTTGCCCAGAAAAATCATTTTAAAAATTACGATGAGCGATTCCGAAAGTCTCCTTCAGATGTAGAAGTCGCCGCAGTACGTGCCACGGAATCATTATTGCCGGAAAAGTTAATATATTTAGATGTTCGTAGTTGTTTTTCATTATTATAGAAACTATAATAGTTGTGTTATAGATTCATAACACCACTAATTGTGTTATGAATCTCATAACGTAACTGAAATACTAAAAAATAGTGATGTAAAAACGTTATAACTACACGGTTGTAGATAAATAAATTAAATACGTGTTTAACTTTAATTATTATAATATTATTTTATGTTAACCTTAAATTATTATACTCTATACTTTATATTGAAAACAATGATGACTCACTTCCTGTGGCACTGACTGGGACACAAGTGGCACAAAATTTGTCGCTGTTTGTGTAAGAAATATCCAGGTCCTTGGCATTTGCTCCTGGGGCGCAAGAATCGCCAACAAAGTCGCTGAGTGCGGCGCCGTAATCGCAAGTGCGCTGAATGGCATTGCGTTGAATCAGAGTGTCGATAAGAACCAACCATTCTGAAATCAAAATAAAATTCTTCTACCCTCAGATGAAAAAAAAAACGCAACGGAGAAATTTTTGATCAAATTTCAAGTATTATATTTTTGCTAATTTTAGCCCTATTTTCATGAATTTTTTAGTAAACTGTATACAGGGTGGTCCGAACTGTATTCCGGAAACTCCGGGAGCGTATTCTGCAGATAAAAGAGAGTTTCGGAGATACAGGGTGTAGAAGTTTCATTTTTATTCCGATTTTTTCCAAATAATTTCTGAAATAACGTCAATATTTAGATGAAAATTGGTATCTGATAGTTTTTTGACATGAGGAATTTGATTTTGATGTCATTATAACTCCTATTTGTAGAAGGCGCCACCTACATGTGTTTTAACTGTTTTGAAGAGTAATAACTTTTTGTCCGTACCTGTATAGAACTGCCGAGTAAAAAAATATACATTTTCGTATTTTTTTACGTCAAAAATGTCTCTTGGTAGAAATCGTTACGCGCAACCCTTCTTGAGATATTTACAATGGGAATAGTCAATACATGTCATTATTGTCAAAAAATAAACATAAGTTGAGTAGATAGTTATGACTAAAATGATAAATTTGGGAAATTTTTATTTTTTTAAATTAATCATAAAGTTTTCTTCGAAAAAATGATGATTGATGATGATTTGGCACAAAAACATTTAAAATTTATGATTTCCGTCTATTAACTATTTAGTCAACATGTTTAATTTATGTCAATGATGACAGGTATTGACAACTTCGATTTCAAATATCTCGAGAACTATTACTCGTAGCGATTTTTATTAAGAGATCTTTTTTACGTTAAAAACGTCGTAAATGTCTATTTTTTTACTTAGTAGTTTTATACAGGTACGGACGAAAAGTTATTACTCTTCAAACCAGTTAAAAATATGTAGGTGGCGCCCTCTACAAGTAGGAGTAACATTGACATCAAAATCGAATTAAAAAATTACACCAAAAAGTATTGATAATTGAAAAAATTGCATATTGATCGTTTTGTCAGTTCATTTCGCTCTTCAAAATTAAACAAAGCACGTACTGACATGAATCAAAAAATAAAATGCTCAGAAGTCATGGTTCTGACCGTAAAATTATATTATAGGAAAATTTACACACGAAATTATTGCACAGGGTGTTTTAAAGTTAAGGTTGCGACGTTACGTAAAAATGCATTTTTTAAATTTTTAATATAAATAAACCCTTAAAAAAAGGGTATTAAAAGGGTATTATTATTTTGTTTAATTTAATTTAAAGTAAGGTATTTATTACTGAACTTACCTTTTCCACCATATTCAGGTAGACAAACCGGCCTATTTCTCAAGTTGGCAAAATTTTCCTGGAACCATGTGGTGTCATTGCGAACAACTAGAACAATTCTGGACAACTGACTACGGTCAGTTTCTAGATAAGCGACATTTGTTAGGCCTTTCCTGAAAATAAAACATTAAGAATTAAACCGCTGTTTATTTGTTCTTCTCCTCTAGAATTTATTGTAGTTATTTCTCTTCTATAGAATTCACCGAAATCTGCCGCACGCTACACAACCAACCTTTTTACAGTCTTTTTCGATAAATCGCAATAGTGTCATTGTTAATTTAAGTTCTGCTACAATTTCCTTCTAGATTTACTATATCTAAACAACTATCAGTAGTAGAATAAATAATAAATAACATAAAATAAGCTCAGTAAAGACTGACAAATCCACTAAATTTCAAATCAAATTCAAATGTGCCAAATGAATCGTCAAACAGAACTGTCAAGGATCCCAACCTAGACTCCTCTTTCCGTCACCATGCATGAATACATGAAGCATTATACTCCTTCCTTAGTATTTTTATTCAAAGGTATTATCACAGATTATACAGATTATAATCTTTCTTTTTTCTTTATTGTTTTTCGTGGTTCCAATTTTCCTTTGAATAAGAAGACTAAGGAAGGAGCATAATGCTATCCATGTATTCATGCATGGTGGGCGGAAAAGCCATAAAACCACCATAAAAGCTCTCTAGGGTGGGGATCCTTGACAGTTCTGTTTAACGATTCATTTGACACATTTGAATTTGATTTGAAATTTTGTGGATTTGTCAGTCTTTACGGAGCTTATTTTATGTTATTTATTATTTATTCTACTACTGATAGTTGTATAAAATGGTAGTAAATCTAGATGGAAATTGTGGCAGAACTTAAATTAACAGTGACACTATCGGGATTTATCGAAAAAGACTCTAAAATAGTTGGTTGTGTAGCGTGCGGTAGATCTCGGCAAAAATTGAGTGAAATAATGGAACAACTTTTCGCTAGTAAGTGACTATAGGTATAATATACATACGTGTAGTAAACCGATCATTTATGAAATTCACTTAAATTAACTAAATTATATATTTTTCTTGCATTTTAGCTTTTATTTATTACTTGTCAAAGATTTAATGTCAAAGAATTTAGATATGTTAATTTGACTTACCTGCTTCAGTAGCGTATCGGATGTTTGTGTTAATAAATACTTATTATAACTTATCTATTTTTATTACAATTATATATTTTTATAACAATTTTAATAACTACCAACATTTATTCACAACGTAAAATAAAACAACAAATTATTGAGTCTACCCCACGTCTACCCTACATCATAGTTTTACATTTTTTAAATAAAATTAGAACGACACTGATAAACCGGAATTTAAGTCGGCCATATTTGAGGCCCATCGAGGTGTACCTAAGATTTTTGATATGCTCCTTCCTTAGTCTTCTTATTCAAAGCAATTTTCGGAATCGGGCACTAGTTAGGTGACTAGTTTGCGCGCATAGCACGCCCACTTATGGCCTCTAAAATTATGCACAGCGCCTGACCGGCACAGTTATTAGAGAGATATCGGAAAACCGAATAGCGTCATCCAGTATTTACGCGTACCTTATCATGGTTACGATATGCACGAGTCAATTTTTAACGCAACACCCGCTAATAACGTTACCGCCTGACGTAATTTGCGGATCAATTACACCAAGCGCTCTTTCTAAATAACCTCTGATAACGTTTAAAAATTGCTTAAATGGGCATGTGCGGGTATTTGACAACCGGAGCCGGCCGGCGAGATCTTTTATTTTAGGTTATGTTTGAATTGTTTTGAATTATTACTTTAGTTTTATTAAGTAATTTGATATTTAAGTAGCTGGGATTAGTTTTAATTAAATAAATTTGGCCCAAAATATGGATTCCACCTCTTCCAATACTAAAGAACCTATAAAGAGTCTTAGGTTTACAGCAGATGACGACTTAGCCCTTCTAAGAGAATTTGTTGCTTGTTGTCCTAAACCCACTGGCAGACGTTGAACAATAAAGCACTGGAAATAAGCACTTTAGCCCTTTAGTTTTAAAATACGTAGTAAACAAAACAATTTCAAAGTTTTAAATTCAGTTAGGTTAAGTTTAAATAGCGCTACGCTACGCGATCAGAATTCTTTCCGATCCGATAACTATAAATGAAGAGAGCAAGGGATGAGAGTTATACCACCTCACGTAAAGGAAATAACACCTGGCATTATTAACGTCCATGCACGCTATTCGGTTTAGCGATATCTCTCTATTACGCTGTTTATTGTTATTTTACTCGAGTTTATTTTTGCGCACAGGAAATTTGACTCGTTTGCACATCGTCATAAAAAACAATTTTCTTACCACGAATTAGAAAGAATATTTTTATCTGTATACTTATAGGACACCTAATCTGTGGTATTACCTTCTAGCAATGTAGCCATAAGCAGCATCGACGAAAGCAATGTCGCCAACACCGCTTCTGATATTGTCCATGTTCGATACAGTGTCGCTGTCAGAACTTTGTGCGCAATCGATGACAGGTTGTAGACCGGTGTTGACAGATGCCTGTTGCAACCACCAACATTTGTTCAGTTCGGCTTCGTTCGTTACAGACCAGTTTACTGTCAAACCACATTGAATCGATCCGTTTACTGACGGTATCTCCCTTCGACCTACAAAAATATAGAATTAAAATTACTAGGCTAGAATTAATACTAATCTATACTAATATATAAAATCCTTAAGTGACTAACATACTGATTAATCACGATCCTGCTCAAACCACTCAACGTAAGAGGCTCAATTTTGGCATACAGGTTGATTCTAGTGTGTAGAGGTTCGATAAGAAGGGATTTTTCGAAATTCCAGTTCCAAGGTGGCGAAACCACCCCTCAAATATTACAATATTTTTTATTTAAAAAACGGTCAAGTTTCCGAAAAAAAAAAACGCTTAAACACGTATATTTTAATTTTTTACATATCTTCAGATTTTTTGAAAATGTATACAGGGTGTTTCGAAAAATCTGGTCAATGATTAATCACGATCCTGCTTAAAGCGCTTGATGAAAAAAGATTATTTTTGGAAAACGGATTGACTTTAGGGTGTAGAGGTTCGATAAGATGGGATTCTTCGAAACTTGAATTCTAAGGGGGTGAAACCACCCCTCAAATATTAGAATATTTTTTATGGGGTGTAGAGGTTCGATAAGGAGGGGTTTCTCGAATCTCAAATTCCAAGAGGGTGAAAACGCTCCTCAAATATTACAATATTTGTTATTTAAAAAAACGGCTAGTCTTTCGGGAAAACGCTTGAACATGGATAATTTATTTTGTTTTTTACATATTTTGAAATTTTTTAAAAAATCATACAGGGTGTTCCAAAAAGTTGGGTAACTGATTAACCACGAATCTGCTTAAACTGCTTGACGTAAAAAGCTTATTTTTGCCAAACGGATTTTTCGAAAGTCAAATTGCAACGAGATGAAACTACCTCTAAAATAATTCTAATTACCAAGTTATATAATAATTTTGCCATATTGTTTTTTCTCATGCTGACATAAATGTAAGAAAATTTTATCCAGTTTGTATGTTAATGGAAATTCTTGCTTTGCTTTATCATCACCATTACAAATGATTAATTCGACGCGAACGAAGTCGCGGGTACATGCTAGTAGTTTATACAAAATTTAGGACAACTGAGAAATCATCCTGTTTCAATATAGTCATTTATTTTTAAGTAAGACTATGTCTTTTTTGTATCTATATCTCTACTTACTTGAAACATATTGTGTCAAACTGGTAGGCGTGAAAAGATTTATTCTGTTCTCAGGTCCTAATCCCAACACGCGAGCCAAGCTTTGTTGGAGAGTAGTATCCGCGTCAACGCTTGACCCCACATATAGAGGAAGTGAGTTGCTAACATACTCGCTCAATGCAGAGGCACTCGATCTGAAAGTTGGAAAATAGTACTATTATATGAAAGCGGAGAGGTGCCTCTGAAGTTTCGCAACGCGAATATAGTGAACATATTTGAGAACAAAGGAAGTGCATCAGACTGAGGAAACTACCGGGGAATTTCACTACTGGCTATCGGAGAAAAAGTTCTTGCAAAAAAAAATATGTCAAACCGCCTGCACCCACATATAGAAACTTAACTAGAATAACCTAACAAAAGCCTTCGACTCTGTAAAGAGAGATTTGGGCAATTATGAAAAAATTCGGAGTACACAACAAATTTCTTACAGTGTGTACAAGATTCGATAACAACAAGTTAGGCGAGTCACATCATGGATCACCGAGCGATCCATTCTTAACAAATACAGGAGTTAGGCGGGGATGTGTCTTAGCGCATCTCTTATTGAACATATTCATGGCAGCGCTCTCCATTATAGTGGAGAGCAAACTGCAGGAAAGAGGAATGGGTATTAGATACAGATACGACGGCGGTCTGTTCAACATAAAAAGAATCAGAGCAATTGAAATTTTGGAATATGTAGATTTCGGAAAGAACCAATATCGATTCTGAAATTCACCACGGGATTAGCAGCGCCTCAAGAGCATTCTGGAAATTAAAAGACAAGGTTTTCTGCAATCATGACTTGAACACAAAAACGAAACTTGCAGTGTACCAAGCAGTAATAATACCCACAATGTTATATGGAAGCGAAACCTGGGTGCTGTACCGCCCATACATAAACGCATTAAACAAGTTGCAACAGAGACATCTTAGAGAACTCTTAAGAATCCATGTCTCAAACGTATCCGTCCTTGAAAAAGCTGGCTGCGAGAGCGTTAAAGTCAATCATTACTAAATCTCGCCTACGATGGGCTGGTCACGTATGCAGAATGCAAGAAAACGACCTACCAAAATCTCTTCTTTACGGTGAGCTTGTGGACTATAGTCTATAAAATGAATAACTTTGAACTTTGACCGTTATTTTTTACCAACATGGCATATATAAAACCCCTCTGTCAAAAAAGTTACTGATATTCTTTAAACTGAGTGCCTGAACGAATCAGATAGGTAACTCTTTTTACTTTCGTGAAATAAAAAAGGAAAATAATAAAACAAGTGACAGTTCTTCCTCTCCTTGCAAAAATCAACACGAAATGTCAAAATTGACAAAAGTAAAATGTCATCAGCTTTTGACATTTCTAAATATTAGATCAATGCCATCTCTAATAGAACAGCCACGGAGCGAGATTTATGACGTCACGCTAGTTAGATACTACGGATTAATAAATATGTTGTAGAATACATGGAAAACATAATTATTCCTCGTATTTTTGGTTTGTATTTTAAAAATGATATAGTTTAAATGAAATATACATAATATACAGTTAATAAATACAATGTAATATATACCTATTTATAGTAATAAATACTTTGGCAAATAAACTATGAACCATACAAATGCAGCAAATGTTTTACAATATACAAATAATGAATAGGTGGTACATAAGATAATGGGTAAAATGTAAAATATATTTTAAATTTTGGGGTTTGAAAATCGATCTAATTTAACAAAAAAACATTCAATATCTACTAATAGTGATGTATTATTATTTGCAATCACAAAATTTATTTATATATTATAATGTTTACTGCAATTAATAAACTAATATAAACTTGTCAAAAGATGACCACATATTTTTTTAAATTATTATTCTTAATACAAAAACTATCTACATTGACTATGGAGTACGATTTCAGCCATATTGTAAAACATTTGTTGCATTTGTATGGTTTATAGTTTATCTGCCAAAGTATTTATTACTATAAATAGGTATATATATTGTATTTATTAACTGTATATTATGTATATTTCATGTAAACTATATCATTTTTAAAATACAACCCAAAAATACGAGGAATAATTATGTTTTCCATGTATTCTACAACATATTTATTAATTCGTAGTATCTAACTAGCGTGACGTCATAAATCTCGCTCTGAGGTTGTTCTATTAGAGACGGCATTGTGTCAGCATGGCCGCAAGTTGCTAACCTAATAAAATTAACACTAGAAAAGCCCGCGGGAACTGTCAAATTCAAAGTTATTCGTTTTACAGACTATATAAGAGGAAACAGGGTGGACAACTCAAAAGGTACAAGGATATTTTCAAAAAAAAAATAAAGGGGATAAGCATGCAGAATCAGTAGGAGGAAGAAGCGCACAATAGAACGCAATGCAGAAGAATAAAACTGTAAACTCAGTTAAAACCAAAAAGTAAAGAGACAACAAAGCAATGAGATTTTTAAATGTCCGGAGTGCGTTAGGCAAATAACATCACGTATCGGGCTTATTAAAAGCTCATTAAAGGAAAAACCTTGCGCAACCATCTTCTGATGCTTGTCAAATACTCGTCAGCCATTTCTCGCTGACGATTATTTGACACAGATTGCGAAAACTACCGGGGAATTTCACTACTGGCTATCGAAGGGAAAGTTCTTGCAAAAATTATGCCCAACCGCCTGCACCCACATATAGAAAAAATCCTGTATCAAATACTCAGTCAAGAGTCGTTTGTCGTAGTTGTTAGTAGTAGTAGCCATTTGTCGAAATCTTCTTCGACTCGCTGGACCAACTTTACATACAGGTAAAGCTATAAAAACGTCTTAAAAATATTATATATCTATACATACTCTGAACTGATGAGTACTCTTTGGGTCTGATTGGTCCAAACACATTGGGTATCAGTGAGTGTACCATCGGGACACCAATACTGGAAGTTCTGGGTATTGTTGGTATCAGTGAAAAACTGATTTGCGTATGTGGCGGTTGTTAATGCTACATCGCCACCGTTCACCAAGCAGGTCAACGAATCATTGAACGGTGTAAAATACACTGTACGGTCTAAGTTACAATCTCCGTTTGGACACAGTTCACACAAAGATGAGTATCTGTTTTCTAAAAAAAATAATTAAGATATAAAATACAATTCTTACTAATTTTTGGCACACCATACATAGTCCTTAGAATATACAGGGTCTACCAAAAACATCGCAACAAATGAAAATATTTTTATTATTCAGTTTCTCGTCGAGAAACCAGATGAATTATGTCAAATCCCAAGTTATATAAAAAAAAAATTAAAATGTATTCCGTTGCTTACGGTTGCTTGGTTATGGTTTTATGTTCCGTTTCTATCGGTTTCCTGCTTTGAATAAGAAGACTAAGGAAGAAGCATAATTCTATCCATGTATTCATGCATGGTGGGCGGAAAAAGCACTCTAGGGTGGGGATCCTTGACAGTACTGTTTGAAGATTCATTTGACACATTTGAATTTGATTTGAAATTTTGTGGATTTGTCAGTCTCTACGGAGCTTATTTTATGTTATTTATTATTTATTCTACTACTGATAGTTGTATAAAGGTAGTAAATCTAGATGGAAATTGTGGCAGAACTTAAATTAACAGTGACACTATCGCGATTTATCGAAAAAGACTCCAAAATAGTTGGTTGTGTAGCGTGCGGTAGATCTCGGCAAATATTGAGTGAAATAATGGAACAACTTTTCGCTAGTAAGTGACTATATAATATACATACGTGTAGTAAACCGATCATTTATGAAATTCACTTAAATTAACTAAATTATATATTTTTCTTGCATTTTAGCTTTTATTTATTACTTGTCAAAGATTAGATGTCAAAGAATTTAGATATGTTAATTTGACTTACCTGCTTCAGTAGCGTATCGGATGTTTGTGTTAATAAATACTTATTATAACTTATCTATTTCTTACACTGATAAACCGGAATTTAAGTCGGCCATATTTGAGGCCCATCGCGGTGTACCTAAGATTTTTGTTATGCTCCTTCCTTAGTCTTCTTATTCAAAGGTAGTAGTATTATCACCGTCACTATACTGTCAAAGTCACTAATTAAACTTCTACGTCCAGGTATCTGAGGTGGTAGGTATTCTGAACCAGATTCAATTACGAACGGCTCAGATTTGCTGCTCAACGAACCATCACAAGCACTCATTTTAATGTTAAATAATAATAATAATAATTAACAAAATTATCTAAATCTGATGATTTTGGCTGTAGTATAATGAGCCCAAAGTTTTTGATTTTTTTGAAAATTAGATTAGAGCTCTCTAACGAGTTTAACAGTTTATTAATAAAGTACTTTTCAATATTAAACTCCAGTGAAAAGAAGAAGCAAACGTAAAAGCAGAGAATAGGTACATTAAAAATGCATAAAAGATAAATTTTATAATAGAGGTATTGAAATTTAGAAAACGTCAACATTTGACGTTTCCAGTATTTTACCAAACCGTTCCGTATCAAACCGATGTTTTTCAGGAACCGCTCTTTACCGTAGTTTACCGGTCTGGTTCGCCTGGTTTTGCAACGGAATACAGATATGTGAAAAAAAATTAGGAAATATTCTTACTAAGTTCAGTGTCGAAATTCTTGTCCTCGGTCCATGTTCCTGGTCTACATGATGACCCATATTGGTTGGCGAGTGCTTGAAATTTTTGTTCTAATAAAGTAGTTCCGTTGGTACAATTGTAAGATATGGATTTTCTTTCCAATTCTTCCAAAACGTACTTTGAAACTTGTTCGTTATGGTCGTATCCAGGGTGGCAGTATTTCAAACCACCCGTTACGAAGGATCCAGTGAGTCCTCGTCTCAATAACACGACTGTTTCGTAGGTTGCTAAAAAATACAAAAATAATCAATTGAGACCTTAATATTAATATTAAGACATCACGTTTTTCTATTTTCCATAAGAATACCATAGAAAAATTTTGTTCTGCACCTTATAAATTTTATTGCTAGCCTGTCGTGTGTCATCCTTTTTACTATTTTTGTAGAGAATTGAACGTTCTACAAAAAAGGTCTCTTATGATTTTTCGAAAAACCTAATAGTTTAAGAGTTATTTGAGGCCAAAGTTCAATTCATCGCAAATTTTAAGGTTTTTGATGCATTACAGCAAATCTGATGGTTTTATTGGAACAAATCATCCCAAAAAATTCATGTTTATCTTAAATTTAGTTTCTTAGACAATAATTCTTAATAATTTTCGGTAATCGTCCAAAGAAAAACCGAATAGTTTGAAGATTTCTTATAATTTTTTCTATGAAAACAAAAAATCACGTTAAATAGTTTTTCTGTTCATCCAATAGTCTGTAATTGTTTTAAAAGTTATTGTAACTAATTTGAATTCTCAAAATTATAGGTGAGAAGTTATTTTATTATTAACTAGCGTGTACCAGCGACTTCGTTCGCGTCGAATTAATCATTTGTAATGGTGATGATAAAGCAAAGCAAGGATTTCCATACACTTTTCACATACAGATTCACATACAAAATTTTCTCACATTTATGTCAGCATGAGAAAAAACAATATGGCGATATTGTTATATAACTAGGTAATATTTGAGGGGTAGTTTCATCTCGTTGAAATTTGACTTTCGAAAAATCCGTTTGCCAAAAATAAGCTTTTTACGTCAAGCAGTTTAAGCAGAATCGTGGTTAAGAAATTACTTTTTGGAACCCCCTGTATGATTTTTTAAAAAATTTCAAAATATGTAAAAAAACCAAATAAATTATGCTTGTCCAAGCGTTTTCCTGAAAGACTAACCGTTTTTAAATAACAAATATTGTAATATATGAGGGGCGTTTTCACCCTTTTGAAATTTGAGATTCGAGAAACCCCTCCTTATCGAACCTCTACACCCCACAGTCAATCCGTTTGCCAAAAATCAGCTTTAAACGTCAAGCAGTTTAAGCAGAATCGTGATTACTCAATGCCAATGGTCATATTTTATGAAACACTCTATATAAATTTATAAAAAATCTTAAAATATGTAAAACAACAAAATAAAATATACGTCTCTAAGAGTTTTTCCGAAAAACTCACCGGGTTTTAAATAAAAAATATTTTAATATTTGAGGGATAGTTTCACCCCCTTAGAATTCGAGTTTCGAAAAATCCCTTCTTATCGAACCTCTACACCCTAAAGCCAATCCGTTTTCAAAAAATCAGCTTTTTACGTCAAGCGCTTTAAGCAGGATCGTGATTAATCAATGACCAGATTTTTCGAAACACCCTATATACATTTTTAAAAAATCTTAAAATATGTAAAAAAACAAAATAAAATATACGTGTTTAAGCGTTTTTTCGGAAACTTGACCGTTTTTTAAATAAAAAATATTCTAATATTTGAGGGGTGGTTTCACCCTCTTGGAACTGGAATTTCGAAAAATCCCTTCTTATCAAACCTCTACACCCTAGAATCAACCTGTATGCCAAAATTGAGCTTCTTACATTGAATGATTTGAGCAGGATCGTGATTAATCAGTATGTCAGTCACTTAAGAATTTTATATATTAAAGGATATTAGTATAGATTGATCGATAAAAAAGATTTTTTTTTAGATTTTGTCGGAAACATAGTTATTTCTCTACTATAAATAGAGTTGTAGATAAAGTATAGTCTGACAAACAGATCTGAAACAATGAGACAACAGTAAGGGGTAATTCGTAATTTTCTAAAAACATGGTGGATTTCATTCATAAAATATCCAGGAGAAAAATAAAGAAATTATTGCATAAGAAACTAAATTTAAGATAAACATGAATTTTTTGGGATGATTTGTTCCAATAAAACCATCAAATTTGATGTAATGCATCAAAAACCTTAAAATTTGCGATGAATGGAACTTTGGCTTCAAATAACTCTTAAACTATTGGTCTCTCCAAAAATCATAAGAGACTTTTTTTGTAAAACGTTCAATTCTCTACAAAAATAAGTAAAATGATCTTTTTTATGACACACGACAGGCTAGCAATAAAATTCATAAGGTGCAGAACAAAATTTTTCCATGGTATTCTTATGGAAAATAGAAAAACGTGATGAGGGCAGTCTTAATATTATTATTAAGGGCTCAAATTTTAACTGGTATCTTTTTACGTTAAATTGAAACTTTTGGGCCTGTAATTTTTTCCGAATCACCTTATAATAGATTCTTTTATTTGTATATTTCGACAAATTGGATATCATCCAATGATTAAGACTTCACAATAAAATTTTTGTTTATCATATAGCGTGTGTATGCTGTTTGTATATTTTAAACAAATGCGTGTATGCGTCGTCATAAAAATTATTCTGACTATTCTTTTAGTAATAATTTAACGAACTTAGCCAAGTTTATAGTGGAAAAACACCTTTGTTGAATGGTGAGTAAAATAAAACTATAGATAAGAATGATTCATGATTTGTTATTATTTTAGGTCCTTCCAAATAAATACGTATGATGGAAATACCGTACAATAGAAGGCAATAAGGAAATGACATGATCGTGTCATTAACATTCTTACTTAAAAGATAATGTTTAGTGAAAGTACTTTTTTATTTATAAACATTTATTTAATTCTGTTTTTAGTATTTGTTCTTATAGCGGCAACATAGATACCTACATTATCTGTAAAAAATTCAACTGTCTAGCTATAACGGTTCATAAGATAAACCTTTGTGACAGACGGACGGATAGCGAAGTCTTAGTAATAGGGTTCCCGTTTTTATCCTTTAGGTATGGAACTCTAAAAATGAGATATAGCATTTTAAATAGTGCGATGTTGGCGACACCATAAAAATTACCCTATATAAGATATAGCTTATTATTAATAAAGCTAAATTCACTGTACTTTTTAGCCACTTTTCGGATATAGTGTTTTTAACCAAAGTTTCAGTAAATAAGCAATAGAATGGCAATACTGCATAAGTGTTAGAAATAAAAATAGCCTATTATAAGCGGTTGATATACACCCTGTATACAACAAAATATTTTTAAAATATGCCCCTTTATAAACCGTGCAACATGTGTATAAAATTTTCTTTCATAACTTCGACAACGACGACGCTATTGGACTTCCTCCTTCCTCGCACTAATGGGCCTCCCTGTACATTCATTTATTAGGGAATTTAATTTAAACAAAACAGAAACCAGTAACATAGTTTGTTAACAAAGGTTCTAGTGAAAATAAAAATTGGGTCCTATTTTTCTACTTATCTTAGTAAAAATAATTACAAACCCCCTTATTTTTTAAAAAAGCAATGACGTCCTGATTTTTCTCCACGTATTCATTTACACCCTGTATATTATGAAATAGATTCAATATTTGTTATCTAAAAATAGGATTTTTACTTTGCGGTCTCCTTATCAGATGTGTCATAATGATTAACATTATATTATTATTCATAATGCATTAATCTACTTAAAAATAAGATCTTCTTTATCAGAAAAACCCATTAAGAGATCTTTAAATAAATTATTTTATGTATAATATCTAATTTTAAAATTGATTTGTATATATAGAGTTGTGTAAAGGGTTTTTATCTAACTTGAAAGTATGTAAGGGTTTTTATCTAACTTGTAATGTTACACAGCGCGAGTCTTAAATTTAGCAATTTTTTTTACGAAAAATTGATTTTTAAAAAGTATTGTGCTCTCTAGTAATAGTAAACAGTATTATGTACAGGGTGGCGCCACTCATACGAAGCGGAGGCTCCAAGGATAACGGTAGTTTATATCGAAATAAAATTTTGGCAGCATATGTAGGTTAATTGAAAGCATTTTATAAAAACATATAAAGTTATACAGGGTGTCCCCAAAAAAAGTTACACATCAAAGTTGTGTTTTTTCTAATGGAACACCCTATATATCAATTGATTTTTGGATTCTAGGAAAAAAATAAAGGTGAGTTTTATTAAAGAAGTATATACCCAAAATCTAAGGATTTTGACATATTTCACATTTTGTGAAAATGAAGAGTAAATTTTAAATTTCGATAACAGCTACCAAAAATTTTAGTTGATCTTGTATAGCTTGATATTTAATTACAGTAACCATTGTATGTTAAACCAAATTGAAATTTGACCCGAAAAGTTGTACAGGGTGAGACAAAATGAATATGGAACATTAGTCACTTTTAAAAGCAAGTTACTCCTTTATTTTAAACGGAACATCTAGTATATTATTCCGGTGTTCAATGGGGAATTCATATTATTCATATATCTTCAAAATATTATTAAGGTTGCCTACCTCTCAGACAAAGATTTTCCTAGATATTTTAATTTTTATGATTTTGCGTCAGTAGATCTTTATTATTTGAAAAAATCTATGATGGCTGTGATATACCTTCTGTTAATTTAACAAAAATTAAAGTAAAATGGGATGTAGAGTAAAATACTCAACGGTAATAAAAACATACACGTTTAAAACATATTTTAATTATTACAGAATTAAAACTAGATATAAACCTATAATAATTATGTCACAAAAATTAGCTAGATGAAATCAAATGCTGAAAATGCTTGCTTTCCTGTTAACTGCATAAAATATCTTTTTATTTTAAAAGGCATATGTGGAGTTCTATTTCGAAAAGCAGCTACAATAATTACTCTAATGTTGTCGACAATAGTTGGTCGAGTCTTGTAAATACTGTCTTTAACAAATCCTCATAAAAAAGCCCAGTATTCTATTAATTAGTGAATGCACACTGCATTCACCAACTAATAGAATCATATCAACTCTTTCTGATGTAGGATAAGTTTGCATTTTCGGCAAATTTCTAAAATTTTTTTTTGTTTTAACTGACAAAATGATAATTAGTTGTTAAAATTGGACGAATTAGACAGCAATGTTGAGGGCAGAAGAAGTTTGGGACGGAAAAAAATGTCGTGGCTGCGAAATATAAGACAGTTGACAGGCATTAGTAACATACAGACGTTGATCCACACAGCCAGAGATAGGGAAGCCATGGAAAGTGTGGTCGCAAACATCCATTAATGGATAAGCAGAGAAAGAAGAAGTTGAAGTAACGTCAGCCATATCACAGCCACCTAGATTTTGTCAAATAATGATACACATTGACATATGCTCACAAAATTTCATTTCAATACAAACTGTCGTATTCCTTGAAGCCTCCGCAGCGTACGAGAGGCGCCACCCTGTATAGTACATAAGTTGATAGGTTCCACTCTAGATATCTGATATATTTAAGATTTTTAATTAGATTTGTTAAGAATGGCACTTTACTTATCAAAAATAGCGATGCAATGCATACTTAGAAAAATGTACATTTTTATCCGTACCTTCGGATACTTCGCCTATTACTACAGCTTGCGACGTTGCCAAAGCTGCTCCTAGAACAGCCTCTTCTGGAGACAAAATGCTCAATATTGGTTCACCTCGGCCAGCTTTCAATATACAGTCAATCCTAAATTAATAAATAATAAAGTAATTAAAAAAATATGTTTTTTTAAATATAAGATTCGTCGGCATTCATGGGACACAGGGCACACAGTAGATTTTACCAACGCAAAAGTTATTATGAAAGAACCGATAGCCTCTAAAAGAAAAATAAGAGACCTTTTTAATCCATCCTAAAAATAAATGTATTGCTCGGGCACATAGATTTTGGGTCACGAAATTGTTCTGGGTCGCGATCATGCCCTAGACACTCAATGGTAATTTTATAGAACTCCAAATTTAGTTTCTTCCGCATCGCCAGACGGCGCAAAAAACATTAAAGTACAGGTTTCTAATTTATATATGAAGATGACATGACAGTCCCTATGTTGACTATTGTCTGTGGTCTAGTTTTTGTCTAGTTGACATCATGTTGACATTTTGACAAAATCCGTCAAGTTATTTTTAAATCATTATTTTGATCATTACTTAAATAATCATTAATTCAGATATTCCTGATTTATCGGAAAGTTCGGTGATTTCAGTGATTTGTGTTTATAGTTTGTGTTTTTATTAGTTTGTGCATTCTGATATTTAGAGTCGATCATCATTTTCGTGTTAGATACTAAACTTTTTTATTAAAGTCATTCTGACATTTTAGAAAGTATAAATTTATGAACCAAATAAAAAAATAGTTTAATCATAAATAAGTAAGTACATAATATTTTTGCTATATAATTTATTTGTTAAATCAAAAAATAGGCGCTATGTGCTCTATTGTTGGTGTTTAAAATGTATGTATATATTTTAATTTTGTTTTAATTATGTTACACTTCTAATGATCTAATAAAACATAAAATGCAACAAAAAAGTCTATATTTATTATTTTATATTTTACAAGGAGTAATTTTGAGCTTGAATAAGGTTACCGTTTTAGTTAGCGTTAATAAGTAACGGAACGCTAAAATTATGTTATGCCAAAACTCTCCATTAGTTTCTTCCGGATCACCAGGTGGCTCTAAATGACGGACCCATTTGTTTTATATCAGTGTCCAATCTATCTCTAGTACATGACATTAGTCTATGGTCGCGATCCATAGATAAATGCCAAATGCTCAAACCAAATCAAAACAAGTTTAGATTGGAAAGCCCGTAAAAATTTTGGGTCGCGAAATTATTTTGGGTCGCGACCGTTATACGCGATCTGGCGCTGCTATAGCGGTCGCTAAGAACAACGGCAAACAAAAACAGAAATAATTTTCTCTTGTCAAAGTCAGAATCAATCATAATAATCTTTCAACATCCAAACCGCTCTCATTAAAGAAATTCCGAAAAGTGTTTATAGCGTCAATTTTCAAAGTAGTAATTGCTATCTTGTGAGTTTAATTCAAGTTTTATTTACTCCAACCGGTGATAATTGTGAAAAAGTGGCTTTAAAAACTTAAAAAGCTGTGCTGTGAACTGCAAAAACCACATCGTGGATCGTGGCATAACGTCGGTTTCCAATGTTTCATAGGTATTTCATATATTCGTCCTTATATAAAATAAAGTTTCTTGTATGCAACACAATGTCTTTTATTTATAAAATTAAACGAAAATAATAATAAATTTGAATAAATAATATTTGGCGATATAATTCCGGAAAAATCCGAACCAATATAGCGCCAAATAGTGTTTACATTGTCCTTATGGGCACTTTGCAATCTAAACTTCTCAGGCATTTGTATAGGCACAGACTAAATTATTTTTTAGTTTAATTACTTTGTAGTATAGGTGAGTAATATATTATTTTACTGATATATGTTGGGTTAAAACAGAATAAACAACATAATTTATTATCGTTATAATTTTACATTAGTCTGTTTTTCTTTATAGTAATTTTGTATATTTTTCTAAAACTTACTTGGAGGTAACTGGTCTACATTGTATGTAAAGATCTCTTCCAATTTGTTGACAGGCATCCCTGTCAAAAAAGTCCATGCACAGTTCCTCTGTAAAGAAAAATACAGTGTAAAATTTCTCATGATTAAAATAACTCTGGAAAAATATTGGTCAATAAGTCATATACAGGGTGGTCCAAACTCTATTCCGGAAACTTCTGCAGCATATTCTGCAGATAAAAATAAATAAAAAAAGTTCGTATTGATGTATGTTCAAAAATGCTTAGCTTTGGAGATACATTGTGTAGAAGTTTCATATTTATTTCGATTTTTTGCAAATAATTTCTGAAGTAACGTCAATATTTTGATGAAAATTGGTGTCTGGGAATTTTTGGACATGAGAAATTTAATATTGATGTCAATATGATTCCTACTTGTAGGGGGCGCCACCTACATGTGTTTTAACTGTTTTAAAAGATGATAACTTTTCGTCCGTACCTGTATAAAACTACTGGATGAAAAAATATGCCCCTGCTTTTTTAAGTAAAAAATGTCTCTTGGTAAAAATCGCTAACGGCAACCGTTCTGAATATATTTATAATTGAAGTAGTCAATACATCTCATTATTGACAAAAAATAAACATGTTGAGTAGATATTTATTTGACTGAAATGATAAATTTGGGAACTTTTTATTTTTTTAAATTAATCATAAATTTTTCTTCGAAAAAATGATTATAAAACAGTTTCTCTTGAATTTTGGGCACAAAAACATTTCAAATTTATGATTTCAGTCTAATAACTATTTAGTCAACATGTTTAATTTATATCAATGATGACATGATCATCAATGATGAGGTATTGATAATTTCGATTCCAAATATCTTGAAAACCATTACTCGTAGCGATTTTTACCAAAAGATCTTTTTTACGTAAAAAACGTCGTAAATGTACCCATGTCCAAACCAAACGTCGTAAATGTATATTTTTTACTCAGTAGTTTTATTCAGGTACGGACGAAAAGTTATTACTCTTAAAACCAGTTAAAATATATGTTTTACCTTTTTACCGCATTTCGAGTTGGTTAGCGTGGTTATTTGGAGGGTGTTAATTCATTGGATTAACAGCGCTAAACCTAGGAAAAATCCTAGGTTTAGCGCGCTTATCCTAGGTTTTACAGTATTTCGGACATTTACAGTAACATATCGTGGGCGTACAGCGAAAATACACTAAGTCACATTTTTGGTTGAATTGGATTAAACACACCACTATGTCCAGTTTTTCACTGTCTTTAACATGAAAAACCCATTAAGTCCAATTTCGGCATCCTTATAATATAAGGATATTATAGATTTATAATAAGTGGATTTTCGCTGTACGCCCACGATATATACTTTTCTTTTGAAGAAAAAATCATAATATTAATATCTGAACACGCGCTTATTATATTTGTATGACTAATCCAAATTCACCCAGTTTAAAGAGTCAACAGTTAAATTTGCTTATTGAAATTAAATGCAAAATACCTATTGAATTTTATTACTATTATTTCTGGCACAATAATAAATACACCTTTGTTTATCTTTTTACGTCACATAATCGGAGATTCAAGGTCAATCGTAATCAACAAACGAACAGAGGAGTCAACATGAAATACATAATACATACTTGGATTTGATGCAGATTTTCTTCCGATATAAAAAATAATGTTATTATTGATACTAAAATCACTTATTTGTCATTAACATAATTTGTAGGGTATATATATATAATAATTATTATAACGTTCATTAAAAACGATTATTTTTTGAAAATATTTCAGCTTTTAGGTATAATAACTTAACTCTTTGATATAATAACCTTGATGAATGTTTAAGGTAAATCTGTATGTATATAACCAATTATGAACTTATTAGCAACTGTAGACGTTAAAATATCCAAAATAACTGTGTTATTATTAGTCGAAAAAGATTTATTTCTATTAGGTCAGATATTTTTTGGGCTATGAAAATATGTTTCTATGTAAACATTTTATTTTTATAACAGATCCCATCAGTGTGACAAATTTTTCCATGTTTTTTAAAATTATTTAGTAACTAAGAAATTTTTAACTCTTTCAACTAAAGGTGTAAACTAAACAATATGTCCCTTAAAGTAATTGATAAAACCATATAACTATACAGGCTAGAAATAAATAAGTGCGAAAAAAACAGTTGTGCTTCTCTCTATGACGTAAAGGTGGCTACACACACTACTGCAAGCTTGACAAGCATGCATGAACAATCTTTTTGTACAAGCCATGCATAATTTACCTTCGCCGCCACACGGTACATGCATGCTTGGACAAGCTTCAGTTTATGCCGCGAAAAAGAAGAAGGAAGTCCGAAGAAAAAGAAGAAGGAAGTCCGCGAAAAAGAAGAAGGAATCCTGAAGGCATTTATCTTTTTAATAACGGCATCCTTATCGGCTTGGCTGTCAATTAATCTATACTTATTAAGTAAAATTTTGTATGCTGCATCCTTCTTCACCCTATCATGATATTCTGGTGATTTAATTCGCCAAAGACACGGCTGATTTTCGTATGCGCGAATAAAATCTTCCAATAATCCTCGATTGCTCCTTTTCAGATCGTTAGACATGATGGCGACGCGACGTACAGGTCATTTACGATCACGGACTGAACTAATCGTTTGTACAAGCTGAATACATGTGGTACACACGTACCGTTTCGCTTGCGCAAGCATGGCTTGTCCAAGCTTGCATGATTCAAATTCAATCAATCACCAAGCGGCTTGCACAATTAAAATGCTTGCTTGTACAAAAGTTCGCTTGTACAAAAAGATTGTTCATGCATGCTTGTCAAGCTTGCAGTAGTGTGTGTAGCCACCTTAACTTGGATATACGAGCTGGAGCAAAATCTGTGACATAATATATTACAGAACGCCATTTTTTTGGTACCAAACAAAGGTTGTGTGTGGTGAACTTTAGATAAATTTTATTACAATGGTTATTTGTTCAGCTTTCGGTTCGGCAAGTAGGTTGAAAGAGCCAGGAAGTACGTTTCATAAGTAAATAAACAAAAGAATTAATTTTGAACTCACCACCTTTTTAGCTTTTTTTTATAATACATTTTCTTCAAAAAATTGACATACCACCATCTAAAAAAGTAGTATAACCATAGGCGTACGCGAAAATTTTATCAGAAATATATAAGAGATATTATAGATACCTACAGTAATTTCAACAAATGACGTAAAAAGCTAGGACTATTCTACGTAAAATATGTGCGAAACGGTGCACGGTTTTTAAGATATTTGCGTTTATACAGGGTGAGTCTTAAATAAGTGCAAATATTTTCAGGGCTGGTAGATCTCGATAAAAAGAACATACCTATGAAGTTTTTTGCGACAAAAATACTTTGACCACCCTAACATTGTAAAAATATCTTGCTCTCTTTATTTACGATTTTTATCACCTGATCTATTTACAACCTGTATACTTAGTTGACAATGAGCCATTTATTGAATAAGGCATTTTTGATTATATTGCAAAACTTATGCAAATGAAACGAAACAACAAATTCCATAACATCCTGTGAAGTACCTATAATATACTTAATAACTTCAGATATTTTGATTTATGTATTTGCATTTTCTATACCTTGTTTTTCAATATAATGCTAGTATTCTCTCTTTCAAGAATAACAACTCTATAAAATAAAAGAAGTAACGTTCAGCAGTTTTTATTAAATCTATAAAATAAGCATCATAAAATGTACTTACGTTTAAGCTGTTTCGCTAAACAAACCTCTATAAAGGCACACAACCAAAATACACACAATATTTTCATTGCTATTTAATTTTAAGTACAGAAAATTTTAACATAACCTCGAAAACACGCTGTAAACACACCGTACAACAATATTAAGTCCGAAAGAACTACGCTTATTTGACTTAAGCTATGCTATGCATTAATGAATGAAATGTAAGAGATTTGGGAAGGGAAGGGAATCACCTCGGATTTGTTAAGTCTGCGCAGTGACTCGCTGTCTACAGGTGAAAGAACAAGATCAGCAGGCAGCGTTGTCGATGTGACAGAAAAAGAGGGATTCTAAGGATATAAATATGCCTAATGAATTTTATTTTTTTTGTATCCGCGATTCGGCTCGAAGGACCAATCTTTCGTGTGTAAAAAAGTATAAGACTTTAAATTCTAACCGGCTTATAATTTAAAATACCGAGATAGCTACCGTATGATCGAAAAAACGGTGTCAAAGACGGCAGAGGAATAAACATCGATGATAATTTTGGCGAGGGCATTTATTGAAAACTGATATAAAATTTGTTTTGGTTTAGATGGTTTGAGGCAGGTGGCAGGTTTCAGGTTATAATACGTTGAAGCTTTAGAAAACAGAAGAAATATGGCTCTAAATATAGCATAATAGAGGAAAATTATTAACTGATTATAAATGAGGTTGAAAAATACATTGATGAAATCTTGACAAAGATATCTACTGATTAGATGATTAAAGTCTAATACGATATTTTATATTTTTGTATTTTGGTTGTGTTAAAATGTTTTCGCAGTCTTTAAAGAAAAACTGCACGTAGTTAATCGGGTAAATTACGTCTTAATTAACTATTTTCGAGACCTGCCCTTTTACTTGATTCTCCGACGTATTTAATGGACACCCTCTAAGAAGTTATTTACAACCTATTCAAATTTTGAACTTGGTTTAAGAGTCTATTTCGTTAGTCCCAAAATTTAGCAAATTATTTTGCTAAAAATATATCTAGTTCCGCATTTAACGTTTTATGTAAAACTGGCCAGGTATTTTTACACAAATGAAGAAGGAAATTAAAGATAAAGGATTATACTATATCCGTATTGTAACACATTTTTAGATAACTTCTTTATCTTTAAGATTTTGATTGTCAAACATCAACAAAATATTCCTTATGTTTGGACTAAATTTTCTCGAAAATAAAGACATAATAATTTTAAATTCCGTTACAATACGGAAATAGAAAAAGTTTTGTGATTACATTGATATATAATTTATATGTTTTTGTTACAAATTGCTCGGTATTTTATGGCAAATTCTGAAGCTTTGCAAACCTTAATCAAGCCTTAAGCACGTGTGTTTGGAACTTTGGGTGTGGTTTAACAGCACAGGATCGGGCTAAGCCATAGGCAGATTTCTGAAATATAATACCGTATGATCGAATAAAAACGGCATCAACGATGGCTATGAAATAAAGATCGCTGTCATTTTATATGTAAAATTATATGGGAAATGTCATCGATCGTCATTTCCAAGCCAACTGGACGCCGTTTTTTTTCGATCATATGGTATATATTTCCTTCAGCCATACATACATACGAAAGTACAGCGTAATAAACTCTTAAGAACCAGATATGAACAACTGGTATGTTCAGTTTGAATAAAATCAGAAGTTTGAGGATGTGGCAACGCCGAAAGAGGATTTCATAACCAATGGAGTTTTCGCATAACCATACTGAATCATTTTTATTTTTTTAAATATTTATTTGATTTAAAAATAAATAATAACATAAACACAAAATTTTAAGAATTATTTTAAGAATCGATTAAAAAAATCTTCAAAACGAAAATTATTGGCATTATTATTAAAAATGATCAAATAATAAATGCATATTAAAGCTTTGACGATTGTAATATGGAAAAAAGACAAAAAGAAATAAATAAACTGTCGATTATACGTTATTTCCTTGTTTATACAGGGTGAGTCTTAAATTAGTGTAAATATTTTTAGAGGTGGTATATTTCGGGAACACGTCTATGAGTTTCTTTTCACCAAAAAATATGTTGAAAATCGTGCATTTCCTTTTAATTTTTCTAGTATTTTCTAAAACTATTTAGAACTGCCTGTTCTGTGCAAATTTTTCCACGGTGCAATTTCTAAAATCTCTGATATTACCATGGTTACGACACTAAAAGGGCCGAATACAGAAAAAATCCAGTGGCTCTCAATTTTTTTTTAAAATAAATATTTTTTTTAATTTCCAAACTTTATTAATTTGGTTATTTTGGAATTATTAAGAAAAACAGCAAAGAGAAACTGTGTTTCTTTTATCGAGATCTACCAAACCCGGAAAATATTTGCCCTTATTTAAAACTCGCCCTGTATAAAGGATGTTATAAAAATAACGTGAGATATGAAATACTTGTTGACAAAGTGGATCATTTAGGATAAATGTACCAATAATTCTAAGAGTTAGATCTCATAAATTAATCATATTTCCCCTTTCCATTTTTGACACATTCCTGAAAATATTACGTAATACTAAACTGCCAATATAATTCAAGGGTAAACTGTACCAAAACGTTATTTATAACCAATAACCATAATATAGACTATTTATTTAAGCGTTAATGAATATCTTTATTGAATTTTCGGTGAAATCATCACATTATCTTATCTCGTGGAAATTATATATGGTATCTCGCGTCTCTAAATCGATATAATAATTGAAATTTTCCAGTAAATTTGAATTTCTGAAGATAAATTAATATAATAATTGTTGTATCGCCAATCCGAACATAGAAAATTCCACGTAAATTTAAAAAATGGCGAATATCAATTCCCCATTTTATTTTACCGAAAAATGTATTTGAAACTTTTCAAAGAATAACTCCTTAAAATGGAGCAAATTGTTCATATTAAATGTATTTATACGAACTCATATTTGAGTTATGAGAGATAAAGAAATTACTAAATTAGGCGAAAATTTAAAAATCCAGTCCTGGGTCAAACAAAAACAAACATAACAATCACAAGTTATGCCACAATATGACAGATCTATTATAATTTTCTTGTTAAAATCTGCCAAAAGTCTATAATTCTCTATAAAAATGCCAAAAAATTGCCCTTTTGATATCAGACTTTACGAAATTACCTGGGAAAAGTTGCGGTGAACAAGCAGTCCTAAAAGTTTTCTAAAACGTTCAGGAAAATTTAAAAATATGCACGATTTTCTACATCTTATTTAGCCAAAAAACCTCATAGATATGTTTCTGGGGTCGAAATAGATACCCCTAAATTTATTATTTGCATTTATTTAAGGCTCCCCCTGTATAATCTCGATTATAACATTTTATAACATGAATTATAGAAGCAGTAGTTTATTATGCACGATTGTTTGAGAATATATAATTAAATAACTGCAATTTGATGAACTGTTATATGTATACATGTGTATAGCTATATTTATAAGACAATTATTATATAATATTCTTAATCTTTTTACAATAGGTAGATTACATTTCCTCAAATGTTGTAACTTGTTTGTTCTGCAAATAAACAAAAATGTGTGTTCTCTATAGCCAAATTGTTAACATTAAAGAGCCATAGAAAAGATCGTAGTTCTTGAGTAGCATTTTATAAAATAAAATATTGGTTTTTAAATTTTCCCATTCAGATTTATGATAAATAGGGTGAGTTTTAAGTAAGTGCAAATATTTTTAGGAGTAGTATATATTTCGACCCCAGAAACACGTGTATGAGTTTTTTTTGCGAAAAAAATATTATGAAAATTTTGTTAGTTTTTAGTTAAAAAACATAATTTCAAGATAATATGGCAACATAGGTAGTATATTAACTTTACAAGAATGAAAACCCAGAACCTTTTTTTTGAATTTTCTTTGGTCTTAATTTTACTTTGGACTTATTTGAAAAACGTAAAGAGAAAATACGTTTCCTTTATCCAGGTCTATCATCCCTGAAAATATTTGCACTTATTTACGACTCACCCTGTATTATAATATTCTTTTACTCACCTAGAGATGACACTGTGAAGAAAAAATATCCGGACAATAAAAACAAAACTCGTTTCATTATATATTCTTTGGTTAATTTTTATGTAATAACAAAAATAAAAAAAAACTCGAAGTGCACTCCTTAAGAGAGACACCAAAATACTGAAACAAAATTATTGCTTTTATATACAGGTGTACGCACCTACCTACTCGTATATTACTTATCAGAGATAAGATAATCCAGGTTTATCGCGAAAGATGATTAAAACTTATATAAGAATTCAATAAAGATCTTTTATTTCCTAGAAACATTTATCATCGAAATTTGTATTAAATATTTGAGATCATTATTAAGTTTAATCTATACTCCTTCCGGATGTGATTGTTTGTCTATTTGCATAACTTCCTTGTCTTCCCACATCTGGTTTCATCCAGTGTTGGATATAGGCCCTCTAGCCAATATCATCCATTGCCAACCTACCACTGTTTTGACGTCATCGACTCATCTCTTTTTTGGTCGGCCCACACATCTTGTAGTTCCTCTTGAGATAACTCAGAAAACTCTTAAGAAACAAATGGTTCCAGCATGTGTCTCAAACGTATCGGTCCTTCAGAAAGCTAGCTGCGAGAGCGTTGAAGTCATGCTTACCGACTCCCGCTTAAGATGGGCTGGTCATATATGCAGGATGCCTATTAAAATCTCTTATTTACGCTGAACTTGTAGATGGTAAGAGGAAACCGGGTGGACAACTCAAAAAGTACAACGATATTTTCCACAAAAACTTAACGGGGATGAGCATATAGGAGCATACAGCGCAATGGAGAAGAATTGTAAACGCCAGGGGCGGATCGTGAATTTGTGGGGCCCTGGGCTGAAACTACTTAGAGGCCTACCTAAGTACTCAACTAATAGCCATGTCAAAAAACTGTTTCTATAATGATATATTATTATTATATATTCTTTATTGCACAAAAAAAACCATAAATGTTACTTAAATCTACGCAAGTATTAGTTGTACAAAAGTCGACTTATTGCTGTGGTAGCAATCTCTTCCAGGCAACCTTTGGGTGAGAGAGAAACCGATATAGTGATATTATATAAGAATATAAAAAAAACAATAAAACAATTTTATTTATATTTATTATGAATTAGTAAAAGAAATTGATAGGTTGC